ATGCACGTGGAATTGGCTATACGGAAAGGATAAATTCATAGCTGACCAATTTAAAATTAACAGTTAATATATATATATATATATATATATATATATATATATAGTTTTTTTCCTGTTCTTATAGCCGTCAGTCCATAATTTTTATTTATTTAATTTCCCCCCCCAGAGACTGCAATTTCTTGCTACCTCAGTCACTATAATTTCTAATGTTAAAAAGTGGCTAAAACACTTTTGGCCATAGCTTGGAATAAAAGAATGAGCAATAATAAGGAACATACTAAGTTTGATGTTAACAGTCCTTTCTCCCTCTGAGAGTCTAAATTCTCTTTTACAGCCCGACACATAAAGGCGAGCAAAGGAGAAAAAGAGCCCGCTGTGGCTGTAATCGGTCAGTTCATTTACAATGCCATTTGCGGAAACTTCATTGCACAGGGTGTAATTTAACGGCAATTGTCGCCCTTGATGAAGACGAACTGACGTAATCAAGGCAGTTTCTTGTTGTCGAGCCAGGAAGCCAATCCCAACAACATGAAACTACCTAAACCACGCACCAGCCGTGCGTAACGGCGTTATCCACAGGAGGAGACAAACAACAAACTCTGCAAAGATAAGTAAGGATTTTATTCCATTCCTCACAGACTCGAGCTTTAATTTAATCAAACTTCGTTTGTAATAGTTCTAGTATGCCTGAAAGGCCATAGCTTTTGGGTAATTTTAACAATTGACACCAAAATGAACACCAAATGACACTTCTATCAACCAGTATTGCTATTTCTAAAACAAAATGTCTACAATTCAGAGAGACACACTGACAAATTAGTAGCATGCAAATGAGTGGACCTTCAACAAGGATGAGACTGAGAACTGACAGTTTCCTGTGGCTTTTTGCAGACCAAGAAAATGATCAAATTAAATATAAAATTGTAGTAAAAAGAGAATAACTGTCCTTCAGAGGGACTGCAAATAGCTGATATTTATTTATAACACATTATGTTAGTATAAGTAGATCTCCACAACTTTAACGTGTGCTTGGAAGATGGGGCGCAATTATTGACAACAGCACTCTCTTATCAACAACTGTCAGAAGCACTGAGCAAAGTCCACATCTCAAGAAATTCGTTCAAATCAAAGCTGTTATCCATGTCAGCGCTTGAGGGTATCCAGAATAGCTTCCCTCGAGCTCAATCAATAAAAAATAAGGAAAACGTTATCCTACCTTGAACCTTCTGCACACGGTCTGATTAACGTAGCTCATAGGATCCACTCATTCATTCACCGCCGCTGTAGGTCTTGGATTCCTCCGTGTTCAGTCCATCGTATCATAGCGTTCCATTACTCCATAATGAAAGGTTCCTGGTTCCAAAACAGCCAGGCAGACCGCAGAGCGCGTCAGTGAGGCCAGCACATTGCAGTTCCGAGTATGTGAATTAGCCCTCCTCCACTCACCTTTTAATGCATCTTTACTGCAGCAGCACATTATATTTGCAGATCATAAAATCCACCCCCAGCGCTTTCCAGGACCGTCATGACATTACAATTTTATGACCTTGACTTACTGTGGTCACCTGGATAATATTTAAATCAACGTTATGGGTCTGCCTCTCATACTGAAAGTGCTATGCACTTTCTCTTTCTGACTCCCTTCCCTGGCTTCACCCAAAATTTCTCTGTCAACATAATACAGGAGAAAATATGCAAGGGGAAGGACATACCAGGACATTATATTTTCCCACCCCGTTTTATTTATCAGCCTCTCGAGTTAAGCATCAAATTGACAAATACACGTCAAAGAACAAAGCATGCAAAATACAGAGCGCGCATTGTTGGACAGCAAACAAACTAATCCAAGACATCGAAAAGACATCTCGTTCATATATTCTGAGTTAAGTTTTTTAAAAATACAAATCTGCCACGAATATTTGCACCAAGCATCCTTTTCTTACGCTACTGGCATATTTACAATTATTATTCTGGTCTATTTAACAATGATAAATTAGGCACTGATGTAAACTAAATGTAATATTGTTTGCAGGATGTTCCAGTCCCTTTGCATTAAAAGTCATGAACCAGTGCTTTGCTATTTTGTATTTGTACATGTGTGGATAAGAGAGAACATGTAATTTCTTATCTTTCCTTTGTCTGTCTAAAGCGCTCAGTTGAAGCTATAGCCTGTTAGCTCTCGGACGCGACTTTCTCTGTTGAGCTTCTTTAGCTTCATCCTTCTGTTTTGGAACCAGATCTTGACCTGTCTGTCTGTGAGGTTGATACTCTTGCTGATCTCCAGACGGCGCTCTCGAGTCAAGTACATGTTGAACAAGAACTCCTTCTCCAGCTCAAGTGTCTGATGCTTTGTGTAAGGACATCTCTTCTTTCGTCCACTTTTCGCTTTTAGCCAGTTCCCCGTTGTTTTTTCCAATTTAGCCTCATCTGCAGAAGTAAACAAGAGAGAGAAAACTGTTACCCGGAGTATGATTGCAAGACCATAGAACTGACTGTGACGCTACAAATGCTCGCTTGACTATATTATTTAGTTTTTCTTCCCCACAAAATTTTCATATTCATATTTTTTGTTCTTCAGAATAAACATTATGCTGAATTTATTGTAATTAACAGTCTACACTCTATGATCTAACGGGTTAATTTAAAATGGCTTTGTTCTTAGCAATATCAAAGCTATGCAGTGATGCCGATTACCCCTTTGTAATTATTATCTGCATATGTATTATTGTACTTTTTTTTTTAACATTTCCGTACAATTTCACATTTTCAATGGTGTGATTTTAGTCTCTATAAGTCATCGGCCTGCAATTACTTTTAATTGAAACGTCATCTACCAAAACAAAAAGGTTGTATTTTTTTCTAAAAATCATAATGATAAATATACTATGCAAATAACAAAACCATATAAAACATTTATTTTCATTTTTTGACTTTTTTATCTTGTTAAATTAACAAAACATCAACCAAGACTTCAAACAAAAGACGCAACTGTTTCAGATGAAACAACTTTAAGTGTGTTATTACTGTAGATTTGATAAATGTTCATACTTAACTAACATGTTAATAACTGGAATTAAACAAACAAGAACACGAAATAAGAATGATACATTTTAATAGACAGATTTTAACTAGGCCTACTTGTGTGAGCATAACAGAGCTTAGTAAGCTAAATAAAGATGTCAGAATTGTTGGTCGCATTTCTCAGTTATATCAGTTACACAATTAGTAAACCGCGGGTATTTATTTAATTATTTTAGGACCACACACTGATTTTAAATTTTTTCTTCATAAGATTTGAATTAAATGGTTTACTGACATTACATTACAACAAACAATATAACAAAATAAAGTGCAAAAATGTCCAATTAATTAAACGTTTTCAATATTTTCAATATACACTTAAATTATTTAAACGGCAATTGTTTTTTTTCGTTCAATGTCTAAAACATTATATTCAAATATTTACTTATATTATCAAGTTATTATGTAAGCATTTATAATTCTTAATTTAAACCTGTATGAAAAAATAACAAAATACTTTGAATCACATTCATATCTTGGCATTTGAACGGGGATGCGGAGAAAACGCTATTTTCACTTCCCTATGAATTAAATGGTTTACTGACATTACATTACAACAAACAATATAACAAAATAAAGTGCAAAAATGTCCAATTAATTAAACGTTTTCAATATTTTAAATATAAACTTAAATTATTTAAACGGCAATTGTTTTTTTTTCGTTCAATGTCTAAAAAATTATATTCAAATATTTACTTATATTATCAAGTTATTATGTAAGCATTTCTAATTCTTAATTTAAACCTGTATGAAAAAATAACAAAATACTTTGAATCACATTCATATCTTGGCATTTGAACGGGGATGCGGAGAAAACGCTATTTTCACTTCCCTACACTATTGCGGGTATATCTGAATGTGCCTGTAAACAACCAAATGGAGCGCAATAAAAAAAAAACTATATAAAAAATTTAACGGACTATTTTGTTTTGTTTATGCTTGCATGGATGTTTAAAAGCGCACTTTAACACTGCGCGTTAATCCTAGAGTGTTCCTGTTTATATCAACGCCAAAACCCATTTTTATTTTTGTAACGGTGTTAAACGCCGTTTCAATTTTAAGTACACATGATATTACTTAATTGACTACTTTTCTGTAAAAAAACAAAAAACAACAAAAAAAAACAAAAACCAGACGAACAGCCCACGTGGGCCTGTAATACATAGTTATGATACACACAGGGTCTGAGCAGTCGTCGGTGCAACAAGCTAAAAGGTCTTCTATTTTGACATGCAACTTGGTTGTCATTTCACACGTTGCTGCCTACATAGAAGGGAGCGCGCTGTTATTATGTGTGTGTGTGTGTGTGTGTGTGTGTGTGGTGGAGAGAGAGAGAGGGAGAGAAGGAATTAGTTATCACCTTTCAAATCGCTCTCGGAATCATCAGAACAACTGTCTGTTTTTGAGACACTCTCCTTGTTTCTAGTCTGTCTCTGATCCATGTCGTCTTCCTGCGTATTCCCTCCCTTGTCTTCTGGGTCCTGCCTTGCTTTGCTGCTTTTGATATAGGAATCTGCTGCTAGTGCTTCCACAGTGTGTGTGTGTGTGTGTGGTGGAGAGAGAGAGAGAGGGAGAGAAGGAATTAGTTATCACCTTTCAAATCGCTCTCGGAATCATCAGAACAACTGTCTGTTTTTGAGACACTCTCCTTGTTTCTAGTCTGTCTCTGATCCATGTCGTCTTCCTGCGTATTCCCTCCCTTGTCTTCTGGGTCCTGCCTTGCTTTGCTGCTTTTGATATAGGAATCTGCTGCTAGTGCTTCAACAGACGTGGATATTCTGGGTATTGGGTTAAAGTCCGAGCCGAACTCATCTCCATGGTGGCCCCTTTCACTGGCGTACACCTGGCTCCGTCGGAAATAATCAGGGATGGAGACAGCGCTTTGACTCGGGTGGCTGTTATTGTCTCCCAGACGGATGTAGGTGGATTTTTCAGCGGACTCTTTAGCGCTGTCGATATCAGGCTGGTAAAGACAAGGAATCGCTTCCTCTTTCACATTACTGTCTGGAAACGAGCAAGGGTGCAAAGGCTGGGCAACAGGTTGTGAACCTCTGTAAGTTTTAGAGCCTGCGATCCAATTGTCCCGCTGCGACAGGTAATGTGAGTGCTGGTAACTGCTGTGATGCATCCCACTCGGTTGCAGATCATCCCGTTTGGAGAGAGGGGTACCAACAATACCAAAACTACCCATCATGGAGCAACCATATTCTGCAGACGTTTGCATATACATTCCATAGTTAGTGGAATAGCTCTCACCTCTGTAAGGAGATGTTCGTCCCACCAGCGAGTCCATCAGGAATGTATTGGCTGCCACGTTGTTCGGACATGACATTTTGCTACTTGCCTTGTTTTCCGTTTGATTCAAAACAATCTCCTTTATGCCGAAGTGGATGAGGACAGTAGGACGCTGACATCTTTTGGGGGGGCGAAAAATATCAGCAACATAATTATGGATTCAAGGCGCTTTGTCATGTGATTTTCAGACCAATAGGGTTTTGAAAGTGGCCTTGATGCGCCAGACCGTCTTGACGTCAGTGGGGTCAAGTTGTTGAATTTATGTGCTACAGCATGGAGCAATGGCGCCATCTAGCCGATTTTTACGGACAAGGAAACCAAGAACAGAACAAAGAACAATAGTTTTCTTCAGATACGTAATCACTTGGCTTGTGCGTCTGCAAAAGAAAGAGAGAGACAAGTAAATTAAACACTTTCTGGAAATTAAAGTCAAATATCACAAGGTTAGTCAATATTAAAAAAATGGTTAATATACACTTTTACACAGTACATTTAGTCTCTTTTTTTCAAAGTGGACATGCAATTTTATAGAATAGGGACGTTGTTGACACATTCTGTCTATTTTTCTGTCTGTCACGACACACTACTTAATCCATTTTTAGTTAATTTCGCTCTATTGCAAATTCCATCCGGTGGATTAGCTGCAATTTTTTTCTACTAAATATCATACTATAATTTGGTGCTTTGCTTTATTTTTTCTTTGTAAGATGAGGTTATTATGTTTCCCCCATTATCTTTTTCTGCGTAGTAAATTGACATGAATTTTTAAAATATACAGGAAAATCACATAAGCCGAGGAAGGGTTTATTTAGAGTCTCCAAACTGAAACAAAAACTGAAATTGTACTTTAATTATACAGAAATAATCAAGAAGAGCATATTTGTAGTTGTGATCGCAGTGTTTTTGATTATTAACTGTTCATAAATACATTTGTGAACTTCGACGCTAAATGAAAAGCAACATGAAAACTTTTAAGCATGAAAACTGAAAACTGAGTATTAAGTTAGTATGTTGAATTTTATTATACATTTTTGATTATATAATACATATAAACCCATTTGTCCACTGTCCATTGTAAAGTTTTTGTCAAAACGGGTGGAATTTATTTTTCTGGTTCCTACCATATTTCCTTAAACATAAATATGGGTTTCAGTTTTAGTACAGATTTCAAAATAGTGAAAAGGTAAAATGACACACTTTGTCTTCAACAGTTTCATTATTATGCCGTTTTACCAAGCTGCATTGAAATCGGTAGAGGAATGACGATACACAATG